CCCCCCCTCCGCAGTGGGTCGGCTCGCCGTGCGGGCTGCACGGACCGTACATTTTCTACAAGGCGTTTCAGCTCCACCTGGACGGCAGGGCGCGGATCCTCTCCCTGGGCGATTTTTTCTTGGTGCGCTGCCGGCCCGAAGACCCCCTTTGCGTAGCCGAGCTGCAGCTGCTCTGGGAAGAACGGAGCTCCCGGCAACTTTTATCCAGCTCCAAACTTTACTTCCTCCCGGAGGACACTCCCCAGGGCCGGAGGAGCGACCACGGCGAGGTGGGAGCGCCGCGTCTTTCCCGGAGGGAGCGGAGAGGGGGTAGTTGCGGGGAAGGGGAGGGCTGCCGGCCGGCCGGCAGCACCCCCGAGAGAGAGAGAGAGAAGGTGGGCTTCTCCCGGGACGGTGTGTATGTATGCCCGGGTTCAGGAAAGCCCGGGCGGGAGACGCGGGTCTCTTTGAGGCCGGGGTCCCGGGAAGGCTGCAGCAGGTTGGACCGGCCAACCAAGCCCGCCTGCCGCCCGGGGACGCCAAACGCCGGCGGCTGTAAGCCGGTGTCGGCGCTGCCTGCCTGCCTGCCTGCCTGAAGGTGATCTTTACTTACACCAACCTTCCTCCCGCCCCCGCCCCGCTTCGGTCTCCTCGTCACAGGCGCGCCGCTTCCCTTCATCTCGGGAAGAAAGGGGGGAGGCATCGGGGGCCCGCCCTCCCTTTCCGTCAGTGGAGTTGCGTGTTCACCTGGGGCTGCCTTGAACGTGTGAAGAGCCTTGGGCGGCGTGCTCGGCCTTTCGCCTCCGCGGCGGGAACGCGAGGCGGAAATTACGAAATGCAGGCCCCTGGGCAGCGCGGACGAAAGCGCCCGGGCTGCGGTCGGCCGGCAGGACCGAGTGGCGGGATGACAGGTAGGAGGGGGGACGGACGGAGCTCACTCCACGCTCCTGGCCCGCTGCCAGGCCTGGGGAGGCCCGGCCGGCCCGGGCGCGAAGCGGTGGCAGCAGCCCTCCTTCCCGCCACGCGCCCGCCTGCCAGGCGAGGGGAGGGGTGGGGTGGGGGCGGCCTGGCCGTCCCGGCCTCCCGGGCACCGTTGCCAAAAAAAGAGGGGGGTCCGCGGAGGCGGGTGCACGTGTGAATGCTCCCGCTGCAGCCCGGCCTGGGCAGGTTGCGCCTTTACGCGGCGGCTAGATCCTAGCAAAGGGCGCCGGGCGCTGCCGAGGCCCGCCGGGCGCTGGAGCTCCGGGCGAAATGCGGGGCTTCCTTGGCGGGCAGCGGTGGGGCTTTGCGCGGAAGGTGAGAGCTTGTCTCCTCCGGCATCTCCCGCGCGGGAGCTCCGGGCGGCAGGGAGAGGCCGCTGGGTGTGTGACCTTGCCGGGCAAGCCAAGGCGAGGACCCCCGGTGCTTCGCGTCCACTTCTCCGCCCCGCGGCGTGTGGAAGGGCCCCTCGCCGCCCCTCTGTTTTAGCAGCCCGGGAGTCCCCCCCCCCGGGGCCCTGTGCAGCGGTCACCCGGCCTCTCCCCAGGGACTGGCTGGCTTTAGGAAGTTATTCCTTCCGCTTGAAGCTTCTCTCCCTCAAGAAGCCCTGGAGGAAGATGCTCCGGAGCCAGCGCAACTGGGCCTGAATCGCTTCGTGTTATAATCTATGGACTCACCGACATGGTATAGGTACAGGGTTTCCTGCCTGAGCAGGGGGTTGGACTAGATGACCTCCAAGGTCCCTTCCAATGTTGTTGTTGTTATGGATCATCACACAGACAGCCAGATGTTCAGACTGGATTTGGCATTTTTGTCTACTTATCGAGTCCTTACCCAGGACCTGGGATAAGCAGATGTGGATGTTTGATGGTATTACAGATATCGTCGCAGGATGGAAGCAGTTCCTAGTAAGGCCGCCTTTTGCAATTGACTAATGGCAAATTTGTCAATGCCGATGATGGTGTTCAAGTGGTGCTCCGGTTGTTTTGGGATTGCACCCAAGGCGCCCATGACTATTGGTACTACCCTGCTTGCTTTTGCCACAGTCTTTCTATTTCTATTTGTAGGTCTTTGTATTTTGTTATCTTCTCCAGTTCTTTCTGGTCTATTCTGCTGTCTCCAGGCACTGCCAAGGCCACTATCCAGACTTTGTTGTCTTTCTTATCAACAGTTGTTAAGTCTGGGGTGTTATGTTGCAGGCGCTTGTCTGTTTGAATTCTGAAGTCCCAGAGCAGTTTAATTTTATCATTTTCTATGACTTTCTCTATTTTATGATCCCACCAGTTCTTGCTTACAGGCAAATGATATTTCTTGCAGATCTTCCAATGCACCATTGTTGCTACTTTGTCGTGCCGCTGCTTGTAGTCAGTGTGTGCGATCTTCTTGCAGCAGCTTACCAGGTGGTCCACTGTTTCTTCAGCTTCTTTGCAGAGGCGGCACTTACTGTCTGTTGCTGTCTTCTCAATTTTGACTTATTATTGTTGTTGTTGTTGTTGTTGTTATTATTATTAATATTATGTAGGAAGGTGTGTCAGATTGTAGGTATTGGCCTTCCCCAGCCTCCCAAGCCAGGGCCCTGGTCTTGCACTTCTGAATGTGGTATTCATGTCACTGTCTCAGAATGACAGACCCCACCCCCTTCTTCAGGGGCTGGTCCTGCAACAAGGGGGTGCAGCGGACATGGGGAAGACCCTTCCCAGAGAAGACATCTCTGGCCAAGAAAGCCTGCTTCTCCGTCTGAGGGGATCAGATATAGATAAACGGAGCCCTGCCCGTGACGAGCTGAAATTTTAAACAGATAGATAAAGATGAAATTCCTGGTAATGAATATTTATAACCCAATCGAGCCTTGTTTTAATGAAAGGAGGGGAAGTAGGCCACAAATCATTTTAATATGCCTTAATGATCGTCTCGCGTTATATGGTATGAACATGGCTGAAAAATTAATCCAGCATTATGGGCAGGGATGTTCTGCGCACAGGACATCTCCTCTGTGTTCCCAACAGACCCAGAGGCTTGCTGGTCGGGAAGGATCCGCTGGTATCTTTGGCTGGGAACCTGAACTGATGTGTCTGAAACATTGTCTGTTATGAACACATTTTCCTTGCTTGCTTCCTTGCTTTTATTCTGGAGAGGTCGGCACAACTTTGTGCCTGCACCAAGCAGGCCAACAGTGTTCCTGATACCCCTCCGTTCCCTGGCTGCCCTCTGCAGTCAGGAGAAGCTGCCAGAGAGAGCAAAGGGGCTGGGCTGAGGCCTACAGGCTTAAGGAGGCCTTCTAACCACCCTTGGAAGAAGCCTCCTTGCTCTCCACTTCCTCCGTCCTCTTGTTTATAGAAGCCAAAATGATTTTATCATCTTTCGTTGTATATTGTTTGGGAGGAAACATCCCATTCAGAAAAAAAGCGTGTGGCCAAAGCCAAGCCAGAGAAGCAGCTTAGCTTCTTTCTCAGTTAACACGAGGCAGTTATTTCAAGTAAGTTAACCACAGTGATAATTCTTTCATGTAAATGATATTAACAGCTATTTCCGAAGCGGAGAGATGGAGCCATTTTAAGCGGAGAAGCCCCCCCCCCCGCAACACTTTCTAAGTCTGTGGGCATGGAAATTACTCTGGGGATAATTCACAGAGAAAAAAAAAAAACAGACCAGGCTTGGAACAAGAGTCGTGTAACAAAAAGTAAATTATACACTGAGCTCGGTGTATAAAGTATGGTTGAAGTCCCTGCCCACCTTCCATTTGCTATGGTGGATGATAAATCTGTAAAGTCAGGGCCTTTGTGGGTGGTCAAAGGTCAGCAGGGCACGCTTATGCTGAGCACACCAACATTTGGTGCATGTCTGTGTGTGGGGGGGTCCTTATCACAGAGATTTAATGGGGGCTTCTTGTAGGCATCTCTGTGGGTCTGGAAATGGCTGGAAAGGGATCTTCTTGTGCCATATCCGTTATCGGACGTTGGCGATCATGTTGGCGATCCTGTTTTTATCAGCAGCCGCACAAAAAAGTGCTGCTAAGTTTTGTCCAAATCAGTGTCTTAGATTTTGAAGCCACGGTGTTCTTCTTCTGCCTGGACCTCGTTTCCCTTCAATCTTTCCCTGGAGGATTCAATGGAGTAGGCCGTATTTTTCCGGGTGTCGCATCACGTGTCGGAAATATTCTAATTTTCGTTTTTTAATTGTTTTGATGATTTCCCTTGGCTTTCCCAGGCGGCTTATCCCCTCCTCATTTCTGATCTTCTTGGGGGTCATAAAAAAGGGCCTGAAGCTGCAGGTTGCAAAAGTGACCAGGTGGACACCTCCACCAGTAGTTTGCAGCTGCAAAGGATACATTTCATAGCAGAAGCAGGAGAATAATTTGTCGCTGAAAGATCCAGCCAAGTTTGCTTGAGGCGGCGGCTGTCATTAGCCCAGTCTTTTGGTCTTTGTACTGATAGGACCATGTGGTGCCTCTCCGGCCATAGTTTATCAGTTTGAGAGTCTAGGTGGGCAGCCCTGTGGCCACGAGTCAGCCACATAACCATGGGGGAGGCCTGGGTGGTGATGGCCTTTGGTACCATCTCCAGAGGTTTGTGAGACACCTCCTAAGAGTAAAAGCTCTGCCCTCCTTCCAACTGGTGGCTAAGAAGAATGGGACCGTGGGCCTTGAGCCCAGAGGTCCAGCCAGTCTCTCCCCTGCAGTTGAAGTGGTAGCGATGGGGCCTGCGTGGAAAGGGACACCTAGAGGACATCTGATCCAGGAAGCAAGCAGCGATTGGCCTCCCAATGCAGTGAAAGACGTTCCTGCTGTTTTATCTTTGTGAATTGTGTGTGCCGCCAGTTGTGGAGAACTCCACACAGCTCAGAACTTTCTCGAAGCTCAGCTTGCGGCAGTTGTGCCACATTTTTGTTATGCTGTTTTGGCCTGTCCTTTGGAGTTGTTCTCTGTCTACCCAGCAGATTGTGCAAATCTTTAAGCAAGGCGACGGCTGCCCTAAATTTCCTGCGTACCTTCCAGGGCTGGTTTGGCCCAGGCCAGGCTGTGTAGCAGAGACGGAATTCCATGAAGCTGGAATTTCTGGACTGAAGCTGTGGGCATTCTGGGTAGACTCAGATGACCGTCCCCCCCCCCCTTCAATCGTCATACCAGCCACCACGGGCTGTTCTATGGGGAGAAAAGATTGGGGCTCTTCAAAGACTCAAAAACGCAGATATACAGGTAGTCCTCTACTTACAACAGTTCATTTAGTGACCGTTTGAAGTTCCAACAGCGCTGAAAAAAAGCGACCTGACCATTTTTCTCACTTACAACCTTTGTAGCATCCCCCATGATCAC